AAATAAATAGATCTTTAATGAAATGTATATACTTATATTTTGGCATTATTGAATTTACATACCTTCCATGATGGGATTTGAATCGAGGATACGTCTGCCGACATTGGAATCGCCTCCACTAATCGCCGTGATGAACTGAAGTAGAAGCTTGGTGCTTTCAGTCTTGCCTGCACCACTTTCACCACTAAAATGGAAGAGTAAATCAGACAAAAGCATTGAATTCAACAGCAGATTTAAGATATAAAATATAGATTCAAGTAGTTGCGTTCCTTTCTCTGGTTATCTGAATTAACAACAAGTGCGCGATAGACTTACCTCCACGTGGTGCACCCTGGGCAACGTATACTCATACGGCAAAAAGTCTATTAACCGGCAGTTGACTTCTCACTTCAAACTACCATCACCCCACAGTATGTCATATTCGACTACTTCCATAGTGCTCACCTCATTTTTCTACCTTTGTCTCTTTTACGTCTTTGAATCACTCTTCTGCTCCTCCTCTCGAATTTTTCTCCCTTTGATGTTTCTCCCTCTCTGTGAAGCCTGAAGTCAACTAAAGGGCTAATGATAACCGTCAAAACGCCTGACATTTGATATAAATAAATAAATAATTCACCTAATGTCAATGCCTTTCAATTATAGCTAAATTAACCAAAAGTAATGGTCATCTAATATGGAATTTGTGGTTCATTCAAGTAATGAGTAAATTATCATTGTATACAGTAAGAAGGATGCAAAAATTAGGTCCTCCAAGAGTTTGTTTTTTGAAAGCACAAAACGCTATCCGAGACATACATCTTTATAAATCAAAACGAAGTAGTTCAGACATAAATAAATAATTTCTCCTTTAAGAAAACACGGAGATTTCTACTATCGAAATGTCTTAAAATAACCATGGCTTGTTACAGCTTGTAACGGATTGTAAATCTAATAAGGTTTGTGAAAAACCCAAGCCAAAAAATAGCCAATGCCAACTAATGTACAGATAGGAAAAACTATATATGTGTAAAAATATCCTAAATTACCTAAAATATCAGAATTTAGTTAATAAAATTTTATATAAAAAGCTATTTAGATTGTTTTGTGAATAAATTAATCAATTTTACGGAAATAATGGGAATTATTTAAAGATGGATGTAATGTTAAGATATAACCTATTTTAATGAATTAAAATCCAATGAACTAGTATAGTATTATGTTTATTGGAACTTAGAATTTTGAAAAAGTATGGGTTAGGCCAGGGTTAATCATTAGAAATAATTTTACAAGATTTTAGGAATGTTGTGTGGAGAGCTCAACGCCAACATGGCTGAGCAAAGAAATCTCATTCGCGCTCGAAGGGACGGCCGTGATACTTACCACGTAAGAGGCAAGTTGGGTCGTGGGTCCAGAGAACCCTCAGTCAACCACAGAGTAATAGTGTTGTTTAAAAAATCATTATTTGTATTTTAATTACCTAGCTCTGCTTCAGTGACACAACAAAAATAAACGCTTTGCACACCATATGCTCTGTTTATTCGATATTGTTGATGTAACTTTAGAGAGCCATTCCATTCTAGGCGATTTTGCCACAGTGTTTGCAGAATATTAGTCAGGGCTTATTCTTGTAGCAATGTGCTACAAATGCAATAACCGTAGATATTCTAAATCCCCTAATTAGGCATAAACATAATTAAAAAAATAGCAACCATGAAGAAGGGCACTGTTAGTAAATTTAATGTAAAAGTTGTATTTGAAAATAAACTATTGACTCACCTGATTATGATACATTGATCATGTGAATCGCGAAGCATTTGTCGATAGGCATTATCTCCTATGGCGAATAAGTGAGGTGGCAATTGCCCAATTGGCTTGTCTGTGTACTGTCGTGTAATTTGATCAGTATAGATCGGCAGAGAACAATAGGGATTGATTGCTATTAGTACTGACCCAGTATAAGTCTAGACGAGGCATATGAATCGTGTAAGTAAAAAGTCAATTGAGAAAGAGAGAATAATAATTCAATCACCCACATAAATTTCATCTGATCGGTAGCGAAGAAGCAAATTTCGTAGAATACTACATTCATGAAGTTCGCCAAGAGAGGTCATATCGGGTACACCTCGAACAGAACTTGGGTGCATAAGCTGAGTGTCTGAGTCAATTGGAACAGAATATTGCTGAAAATTAGGAGAATTTTAGTTAGAATATAAAATTGGTAGACAATGAAGGCAATAAAAAGGAATTAGCAGTACTTTTCCGTCATCATCTTCAACGTAATATGTTTCATTATTGATATCCAAAATTTTTGCACCAATTGAAATATCAAACTCGCCGTGATTTTGTGGTTTGATCCAAATATAATCTCCCTAAAGGTAAAATGTATTCGAAAAAAATAAATGAAGGAAAGATCAACAAAGAAAAAATATACTTGTTATATGATATAATGAATTATAAAACTCGATTGTCTGAATAAACATGTCAAAAATAATTTTAGAAATGTTCAAGAGGCTGCTAAAGATAGCAAGCATTGATTCGAACTTAGTCAGATTTAAACAATTTTTCTTCAGAATTTCTTTATTTTATAAAATTTTGCATATGAATCTGGTACAATCCATTTAGTTTCTTATTAAGTATTCATGGGATTACCTTCGAAAATATAATCATATTGACTAATCCAACTTAAACCTTGCGTTTAATACTGCCTTAAGGATTCGTGATGCACACTTCGCTGCAAAAAAACAAACAAAACTATTAATAAAAGATGCCATTGGGTTGACTATAATATCTTAGATTAAATGAATATTTACATTTATCATTTTTCTACATAATTTTCTTACAAAGATGAATAATTATTTTGTGAATAATGAAAGTGTGGATTGGAATATTTTTAAGGTATAAAGTTCAAATATTTCGATCAAAATTATCTGAATATTATGTTTGATTGCAGGCTCTATTAACATAAAAGCATTTGAAAATACTAGTGAATTGCGTCATAGTAATGATCGTCCATATGCTTAATGAATCTATTTTATGTAAGTAACTTATCAGTAGCACATCTCATCATTTTGATTACATTTATTGGAAACATCTTCTCCTAAGGAGTAGAAATACTATTCATGAAATAAGTAACCAAATCGTAAATTCCATATCCCAACGCTGTTTAAACTTTCTTCATTAAATGCATAAACTAATTAACTAAACTTTCTGCAAAAGTTCTCATTTGTAAGTGGAATCCCTTCAAGCAAATTTATAGTAAGGTTAGTTTGAATACAGGAATGTAAGAGTAAATGTGACTTGCTTTCTGCCTGTGAATAAAATCCGATATGCATAGGGATTATTATCGGAATAAATTATGAGTACTTCAAATAAATATCTAATAAGAACAAATAAAGTAAAACAATAACATTTATCGATTCGAAAAATTAGGAAAACACTTTGCATGTTATAGCCTAATGAGTTTCTGATTTATATCTAGAATCTACGACTTTGACGATATAATAAATACCTTCCCGTGTTCCAATGGTTATAGTAAGAACAAGACAATATAAGCAGTTATATTTACCTTGAAATTCGCTTTCGACAGTCTTATACTCCGACAATAATTATAGATGAATTGAACTTGATTCTAGCGCAATAATTTGCATGACGTTATGTAATCTGCAAATGGGGAGCAAAATTTCTTAAAAATGATTTAATCCTTACTGGATACATTAATTGTAATAATATATCAGGGAATATTCTTCAGAAGTCTTTTGATCGTCAGACATCAATGACGTCAAAAATAGCCTGTCGGCATTGTATGATATAGCACCAGTAACAGAATCCTTTCAAAATTCTAGTGTAAATAAAGAAACCCTCAAATATGTGCTTTGAGACTTACAGTCTTAGTAAGCAACGGTCAAGTTTTATAAATGAACTGTGACAATATTTTGTGGCAGCTCTCGAAATTCACCTTTTAAAAAATGACTTAGTTCATTGCTCTATGAGTTAATAACTGACAAGTCTAAAAATTTTTCCAATTAATCTACATTTACTTATATCAAATGGCAGGCGTTTTGATAGTTATCATTAGGATATCAAATGGCAGGCGTTTTGATAGTTATCATTAGCCCCATATCAAATGGCAGGCGTTTTGATAGTTATCATTAGCCCTCTTGTTGACTTCAGGCTCCACAGAGGGGAAGGAACATCAGTGAAAAAGTCGAGAGTGGGAGGTGGAATACAAGTGTTTCAAAGATGTAAAAGAGACAGACACAAAGGTAAA